GACAGCGTTAGCGTAACGAGTGCCGATTTTTTCAGACTTGATAAATTTCACCCAGTTGAAAATCTTTTGGGGAGAACACTGTATAGTATTCACTATGTGCTTTATTAAATACATTTCTAGACAGACTTAACCACTTGACATTTGAATGATCCTTTTACATTATGCAATGTCATCTGTACTAAGTGGTTCATTTGAATAAACCACATGATGTTCAAGGAAACTATTGATCACTTGGAATTTATTCAATTCTCTTAAATCGCTGAAATATTTTGGCAAATTGAATTTGGAGTTCATTGACTTGCAAGACTTCAAATGAATTACAATTATTTCAAAAATGAATTACAATAACTTCAAAAATGAATTCAAATAACTTCAAAAGTGAATTTCAATTATTTCAAAAATGAATTACAATAACATCAAAAGTGAATTGAAATAACTTCAAAAATGAATTGAATTAACTTCAAAATTGAATTACAGTTAAAAATGAATCAAAAATGAATTACAATTATTTCAAAATGAATTACAATTACTTCAAAATTAATTACAATTACTTCAAAAATGAATTACATTTACTTCAGAAATGAATCACAGTAACATCGGAAACTATACAACATGATTATTGCAATCTTTATGTCTGAATATCTACTGTCATAAATCTTTTAACCATGATTATCTTGTGTTCGTAATTCAGACAAGTAATTTGGAGAATAGATAATTTAAAAGTCATTTGTGTTCGTAAAGGTAATCAAATCTATGATTTGTTAGGCATTTTGTATTTTGATCGACCTAATCTGATTGGTTAATGCAAGATCAAATGATTATTGGCTCCCTGGGTAACAACACAATATTCTGCCATACATGGAGTCATGTTGTGATTGCAAAATTCAAAATCAAACAGCCGCCATTTTTACTTCAGAATTTAATTGAATCATGGTTTTTGGTGTTATATCTAAACAAAAAATTTCAAAACGCACAAGAAATGATCAAGATATTAGTTCAGATCTTTTGGATCGCCAATCTTCCTTGGCGAAGAAAAAGAGATAAAACTGTTTTAGTCTCATATTCTACACCTTTGGGCCTTTATTGCTTTTGCCTCACAGCTTTTTGTCTGGTTTTAAAGGCATAAAATGAGAGTCTTGAAAGGGTTAAATGACACATTATTGCTCTTTCCAGAATACATAAAATTAGTCATGGTATTGCTGTATAAACAGTTAAATGTCATCGCCAAAGTTATGACGTTTTTGAAATATCAATAGCGTGACTGGGAAATACATCGACTAAAGATAAACATTTGTTCATGAAATATATGTTCTAAAACTTATATATCCGAACACCTCATTAATCTAAATTTACCAATGCGAACATCTTTTTTCAGTACTAATTTTAAATGTCAAAGTTGTGGCATATTGTTATAGTCTCCAACTTTTTTGTGGACACTGTTCAGCATATGGCGTTCCATGGCTGGCATCTGTAACAAATGGCAGCTTATATGCCAATGCCAAGATTGACTCTCATATTAACTTATTGACTACCTAGAGTAACAAGATTTCTCGTCACCTCAGAAATGACCTTGAAACCCAGAGTGATGAGAAAATCTGTCACAAAATTGTTAACTAAAATTGCTCTTATTTGAACAATTTCATCCAATTTACACAAAAATTGTTTTAAAATGTGAAGAAATGATCTCTGCCTTCTAATTTTACTAAGTTGAGCATCTTAAGTTGTATAGGTATGTAGAAAAATGTCAAATGGTGGCAAAATGAAAAATTCTCTGGTTTCAACTGATTTTAGAGCCTGGGATTCAAGAGGTAAAGAAAGTTTGAAATGTGAACACCTTCTAATTTGAACACTTTTGGCCAGTCCCATTAGCATTCCAATTAGACAGGTTTTACTAACATTCAATGAATTTTTACTTTTAAGTACCCTTTCCATTTGTTCGACTTCGCTTCTTAAAAGAGAGCTCCGTCTTCACTCTTTCAGTTTACAATAAATCTCTTAACACATTCAGAGATCGTCATTGAAATATGGACGACTTGCTATATATGGTCCTTTCCTCGGACATCATCGCATATTTAATGAGCACGCATTAAGCATGTGTTCCTTCCTGTTAGTTGATTGGTTTAGAAAAGATCAGGGTGGTAGTTTGAAATGATTTATGACCCGGATTCAAGGGCATGGGTCGTGGGGGTGGGGCTACTAAACTGTAATGTAGTCTATACTAGCCAGAGGGTAGTTTATAACTAAACTCTGTGTGCAGGGTACTTTTTAAGGATGATTCGTGTAATTGCTTTTCATGTGGATAACTCACCTAGGCAACAAAGATATATATTAAATGATGCATCTTTTTTATTAATTAATCTATTACTGGCCCTCCTGCACAGAACAGGAGTGTCGCTGCTTCAAAACTGAGCGTCAAATTAAATATTAAATATAAAACGTGGCTCTTTTTTGTGATATTGCAGATTGGTTCGTTTATTTTTTCCGATTGTTTTCTAATCTTCTACTCAGCTATTAATTTTTTTGTATGACATATTGTTATAACATTTTCTTATGACTGGTTCATGCATAACAGTTGTATTTGTTTGTCATGGTTAGAACCCGACTTTTAACCATTTGCAATGACCATGTGGTAACATTTGTTGTTACCATCGTGTTAATGTCGTTATTGTTCTCATTTTGGGAATGATGGAAAAATAATCAATTCAGGCCTGTAGGCAGGAATTGCCGGGGGGGTCACTTTTTAAAAAATTCCAGGGGGGTCTTTTTGACAACTTTGGCGCAAAAATAACCACAATCCCTTGAAAAGTGCTCAAAATGGTAAAAAACTATGATTTTGTAAGACTTTTTTTTGCCAGAGAGTAGGAAAATTGCTCACTTTTGATCTATGTAGGTCGGCATGCCATTTGTTATGTAAATAAATTTGATAAAACAGCTCCCCATAATCTGGTTGTGTTTATTGTATATGCCATTAATGCCAGTGATATAATTACAATTTGTAGTGCTTCAAAATAAAATGAATGAATGAAATGCCAAAACTTCAAACAGTCTCTTTTGATTGCTCCACATTCTGTTCTGCAATAAATTCAAAAGGTAACTAAAATACATCTTCTTATGTTTTAACCGAACTAGAGCATTTTTTGCCATTTTACCTCGATTACTGTACTTCGACTTAATTTGGTGATACTTATTTTGGCAGATTTGCTGTTTCGAACATTTGGTGGCTACTTAATTTGGTGGACTTGCAATATTGAAATGTATAAACTATACATATTTACGATTGAAATATGAAATATTGACTTTGGTGGCTACTTAATTTGGCAGATTTGAACAATTTTGTGGATCTGCCAAATTAAAACAGCCACCAAACTAAGTAAAAGCACAGTATAATTCTTTAGAAAGGGTCTCTCTAATCACATCTTAGTCTTTGTTTAATTCTGTGGCAAATGTGCCTTATGTTACAATATTCAATGACAATGAGGGGTTTCACTAGAATTTCTCACAACAGGCTAAATAAATGAAAACAACAGGCAAAATTAATGGAAATCATATATAATACTTAACATGGAAAAGTTGAAAAGTCACTAAAAACAACAGGCGATTTTGTGAAAACAACCAGTGAAAATCGCCTGTTGCCTGATTGAGTTATCTGTTTTTCATTCATGACTATCAAGTTGAGTACACTCTGTGGTAATGACAGCGTCCTAGTAATTAATCTGATATCTTGTTTTCCCCTTTTGAATATTATCTTCTGCCTATTTTTCCAAAATATATTGAATTTCAATTTGTGATATTGAATTACAATTTGTGAAATTGAGTTACAATTTGAGAAAATCAATAGGCTTTGACATCAGTACGGTGTTCAGATCATGATATTTCGGAGTAAATATGATTTTTCCTGATTTGCAGGGGTCAAAAAGATGGTCTAGAGATCTTTCAGATTACCATAGTGTCCTCATCATGAGGAATCATGGGCTTGTATTAGTTTTTTCTATTGGATGTACGTAAACTCTGGTTACCATAGCAACCAAAACTTGTCCAGTCATTCAATAAATCATTTTTCATATCTAAATAAATGAATAGATATTGTTTCTATATAAATATTCATTTTCTGAAAGTTTCAACTAGAAACATCGAGATCATTTTTGCGTGAAGTTATTTAATAACAGGTATTATACACGATATTTTTAGATGTTATGTGAAAATCATGAAAAAATATTAAAAACCTTTGAAATGAGAGCATTTTTCTGAGAACATATTGAACGACCTTTTGCATACATCACCTGCCTTTGAATTACCGAATTACATTATCTGATTGTTTTGGTGCATTGACAAATAACAGATTTCAATTAGGTAAGTGTACGTGAATGTTTTATCATAATTACTTGTAGATTGTGACAGCTGAACATTTGCCATGGACCTTAAGTACATGCCTAAAATATGATATTACAATGGAGATGTTTTAAGTAAGTGTCATTTTTGGTTTGCTTTTTATATGAAGGGATTGTCTAAAATGCTGTACTTCTACTTAATTTCGCGGCCGTTTTAGTTTGGCGGATCTGCCAAATTGTTCAAGTTCACCAATTTAAATAGCCGCCAACTAGAAATTTTAGTACCATGTTAATTAGTATCATTTGTCCACTGTAATATTGCAAGTCCACCTAATTAAGTATCTGCAAAATGTTCAAAACAGCAAATCCACCAGAATAAGTATTGCCAAATTAAGTAGAAGTAGCGCCAAATTAAGTAGAAGTACAGTATGATATCACAGAGGTAGAATCTCTCGTGTCATATTTTATATGATTGTGTATAATCAAAATAATCATAAATTGAAAACAAGTCTCATTGACTCCATGAGCTCGATATGTTTAAACTCAGAATCAGTTCATTTCATCAACATGTAAATGATTTTGTCGAATGTAATCTTTGAAGTTAGAATAATAAAAACTGAGGGTACAAGAATTGCACTGGTGAATTGCTATGCTCCGAACAGAGATCTTCCCTCATTCTGAAGCCTGCCTGATCTGCGGTTAGTCTCACATTCACGTCCTGTGTGTCCGATCACTTTGCAGCGTGGACAGTTGATAGGCTGTGAATTGATGTATATTGTAGTGTCAATGTCAATGAGATTTTCTCTGTCAAATGGGTCGGATGTGGTAAACACGTTATATCGAGGAAATATGACTCCTTCTTTGACGTTACCATAAAGGAATCTGTTTCCAGAGTTTATACGAATGTTTCCTTCTATCTTATAGGCATACTGTATGGGCGATACTATGTCCACTCTCTCACTGATCCATTCTGACACTTCCGCATTTGAAATATGTAGGGGTATTCCATGTATGGATACCCGTTCAGGAGGTTGATATACAGCTCTAGTATAGCTGACTATCTGCAACAATTGACCTTGGACTGTGAGTTGGCCAACTGCTAAGAGTTCACCTTTCACTTCGAGATTCCTGCAATATACTATCGCTATACTTCTCCCTTTTATCCTAACTAATTGAACCCCTTTTATATCTTCATTTTCTATACTTTTGTCATCTAGTTCACGGTATAATAGCCTTGCAATTTCTACTTCTTTGCTGTAAATTCTATCCAAGTCTATCTTTATCCACAAATCAGTGTCAGTATATGCCTCCATGATTTCAATTTCAAATAATATCTTGAGATGGTCCCTCAGTTGAAATGTTCAAGGTGTCTATAGTGCACTGCAATTGTACTCTGTTTTAACCAGGAGTGTTTTATATGAATGGCTTGGAGCCAAAAAATTTAAGTGGTGTTATAATGTCTTCTAATATCACATGAATTCAATATGAAAAAGTTTATACTTATGTTTACAGACTATTTCTCCGGTAACTATCCAAATATGTTAGATCCTCTTGGTCCTTGAGAGTTTATAAACCTTCCTGTTCCAAAGGTTTTTGGAATATCAAACAAATTATGAAAATCTCAAAAATAAAACAGAAATAGAGAAACTCCCAGAATTTTACATATATCTAATCAAACAATGGCTCAACAATAGAGACCTCAGGATCACAAAAAGTGTTTCAAAGCACGATGTGTTTTGGAATAATATGAACATACAGTTTAAAAGGTCAAATATTTATTTCAAAAAATGGATGGACCGAGGTATTGTAAAAGTAAAAGATTTTCTAAGTCAAAATGGTTCCATAAAAGATTATGATGAAATTGTACAGATTGTCGGGCAAACACCTGAAATCCTTTTACAATACAATGTAGTTAAAAGTGCACTGATGAATGTCGATGTTGATATTCAACAGGAGGAGAAACCTTGTAAATATAATAAAATGTTTGTTAAAGATATCACCGCAAAGCATTTTAAGAATATGATTTTGGATAAAGAGTTAATGATTCCAAAGGTTGAAGCAAAATGGGATCAAATTTATCAAAATTTGACATGGAAAACTATTTGGTATGAATTTTCAAAAATTAAAGAACCAAGACTTAAAGCATTGCAATATAAAATTATACATAAAATCTACCCAACAAACATATTATTATACAAGATGAAACTTTCTGAGAATGAGAACTGCAAATATTGTAATACGATGAGAGATACTTATGAACATTTCTTTGTGGAATGTAGAATTGTTAAAGGATTGTGGAAAGTTGTACAAGATAAATGCAATGCTAAATTTGGCAAAATGATACATATGTCAACTAGTGATATACTTTTAGGAATGGAAAACAGTGATATAAATAATTTGGTCTTAGTAGCCAAAAACTGTATCAGTAAATTCAAATATGGAAATTATGTCAATTTAACAGTACTATATGAAAATGAATTGTATGTTAGAAGTTGTATGTGAAATGAATGAATAAAAAAAAAAAAAAAAAAAAAAGAAAAAAAAAAATCTTTGAAGTTAGATCAAATGAAATACTGAGAATCAAGAAGTAAAATATATAGAGGATATCCTATGATTTATGAGTGATATGATTTTTATCCACAAATGGATATGATATCCCCACGAGCATATGGTTTATGTTATCAGATTATTATCAGAGTGTAAAATGACAAATATTGTTTAAATTACATTAATTATTAACAGTGGATTGTATGTAAAAGACATTTGTCACTTGAAAAAAAACATACTCGTGCGAACTTAGAATTACAGGGTGTCCAATAAATAAGGTGAAAGATATTGTAACTTTCTTAATATTGCACCAATGTTGATGAAGTTTTCAGAGTTTGTAGGCCAAACATTTTTACCTTTATTCTGTGAATTTAAAGTGTCTTCTATTTGATTGGCCAGAGTTGTGGTTGCTATAGCAACCGAAACAACAAAAAGGCGGGGCAAGTTTGTTTACGTCACAACTTTCCAAAACATATTTATTCTTTCTGATAGCTTTATTCATACTCCCAGGTCTATTACTACCACAAATACAATATAAAAAAAGTCCTAAAGTCCCATTGTTATGAAAATAAGCTATTCAACATAATGTCCATCTCTAGCTATACACTTCTTATGCCTATTCACCCACTCTCTAAACACACTTTCAAACCCATTCTTGCCCATTTCCTGAAGTCTTGCTAAGACATGTGATCTGAGTTCATCAGTGCTTCCAAATTTATTTTCACTCATGTCACGCTTGAGTTCTGCATACAAGTAAAAGTCGTCGGGTGCAAGGTCTGGGGAATATGGAGGGTGTGCAAGTAGGGGTAGCCCCAGTGCCCTAATAGTTTCACTAGTGACTCACTAGTAGTGAGCATAGCTGTGTGTGAGGGGGCATTGTCACAGTGCAGCAGAAACTTTTCTCCTTGACGTTTTTTAACGGAATGGGTTTGAAAGTGTGTTTAGAGAGTGTAGAGATGGACATTATGTTGAATAGATTATTTTCATAACAATGAGACTTTAGGACTGTTTTTATATTGTATTTGTAGTAGTAATAGACCTGGGAGTGTGAATAAAGCTTTCAGAAATAATAGATATGTTTTGGAAAGTTGTGACGTAAACAAACTTGCCCCACCTTTTTGTTGTTTCGGTTGCTATAGCAACCACAACTCTGGTCAATCAAATAGAAGACGCTTTAAATTCACAGAATAAAGGTAAAAATGTTTGGCCTACAAACTCTGAAAATTTCATCAACATTGGTGCAATATTAAGAAAGTTACAATATCTTTCACTTTATTTATTGGACACCCTGTACAATGAGAAGCATTCGACAGAAAAGCATATTGAAATAAATTTTGGCCAAATATCGTAGATTAGAAATAGAGCTGCTGTCGTAAGACTGATTATTCATCATAGTTTCAGATTTGGTCAATTCAGTGGAAATCGATTGAAAATTCTTAAAGGAAAATCCATAGGCAAATCTCTGTCTGCACTCTACGGAAATGGAAAACTCAGAAAAGTGATTAAGAATGTCTCATGTATTGTAAATATATTTTCTAACATGACTAATATTGTGATTTAAAAATAGTCACGCTTTGATAGTCTGAGCTTTAATGACTGTGTTACATAATGGAGTTCTGATCATTCCTAGAAGCACGCAAATCACCATAGTTTCTATTCTACAAACATTGTATTTCTATCATCTTTGATTGATGGATTAGTGAAAGTGCAAATATCATTAATTTATGGTTCTATCATCTGATTGGGGTGTTGCATTTGAAGGGTATAAAAGAGAAAGATACCCTGATTTTATAGGCTAGAAATCATTCCTACCCTCTAACATAGAGCAGATACACTTTCATAGCTTTGATGCTGATAATCTTAATAATCCTATTTGGCATATTCCATTGAAATTTGAATCTGAAATAATTGACAGTTAAACATGTTAATCTTGGCACTTGCTTGAACTATGTGGTCAAAATATATACAAAGACTAACTTTATTATCACAGTTCTCCTGAAAGAAACACTGTTATGTGTTATGCTTTAAAAGTAACAAGAAAAGCTGATTATCATTGATTATTTTTAGACCAATTTGTCTCTGTCATGCTGCTAATCTTAAATTGTAAATATGTAATTGGTGGTTCATATTTAGAACACAGATGTGCTCATGTCCCTTTGAGCACAAAGTTTTTTCTGGGCAACTTATAGAAAAAATTCTCTCCGTTTTTGAATGTTTTGAGCCCATATCATTCCTAATCACCCCGGGTGATCAATATCCTGTGTTCCGAATTTCGTTCCAGCAAGTCAGTGACCCGAGTTGTGTTTTACTGAATCCCGACAAATATGGCGGCTAATTTGACAACAGACGATGTTGATGTCGACAATTATTCAAAACTTTCTGACAGCATAAGGTAAGACTGAATATAGAGTGGCGCATTCGGTGCCTAAATATGTTTGCAACATTTTCTTAGTTGTTTATCCATATGCGTTGGGCATTACTGCTAATCGAAGCATAAGTTAACGTGACCTCATTTTCAACGCTCGCTGGAAAGTATGTCACCGAGCAGTTTTTGACCTTCTCATTAGCGCAGGCCATTTTGATTTGAAACATCTTGAATTTGGTGTCAAAATAAAGCTGGTCACGCCCACTTTCATAGTTATCAATGAATCATTTACTACGACTACTATATTCATTTAGGAGGCGTGTAAAGTTAACCAATCAGAGAGACAATTGTTCCATATATGGCAGTTCATTAACATATTCAGTGCTTACTACTGCTTTTCGCGTCATGACAACATGAGGGAACGTGAGTAGTAACCAATCAAGATGCCGTATTTTATCACGTGAGTTCAGAGTGACAAGTACACGCGTACGACATGTAGTCTGAGCTGATCGCGATGTTGAACAATTTCTTCTCGGAATTTGTCCAGAGAAATCAGCGATTCTAAATTAAGGTAGGATCTGCCATTTCTTCCTGTACAAGTTATAACTTATCTCTAATGAATACTAAAGTTTTGGATGAAGATATGAAGCATACGTTTAAATACGAAGCGATTAATTTGACGATCTGATTTTGCAATTTGCAATGGCCAATTTACAGCAAGTCTGCGTGTATTTGACAAGAGATAGCCAAGTCTTGTATCTAAATGCTTGTTAAGCCTTACTCAAAAACAAGATCCATATTTTCTAAAGTTGATAACTTTGCAGAAAACCTGTTTTCATAACCTGATTTCCGCGTCAAAAATTCAAACTGGGTAATAGGAATGGATCGGTGGGATCCTCAGTCTCCTCGGGTCTTCATTCCAGAACTCACATTTTTAGTTGATTCTCCGACCGTCATAGTACTTGTCTAAAGTATCCATATTTGCTCTCTTACTGGTATACTTGGACACATTTTCCCCTGTATTTTCCCCAGTCAAATTACACCCTCTCGCTGATTTATAATAGCCATTTCTCAGAACCCGGGAATCAGAATCGCTGATGTTTGCCATATTGAACATGTTGAAATATGTACTGTAATATCTGTAATTGCCTACTACGCGTAATGGTCACGTGACTAGCGCGATACAGGAAAAATGGGGAATTTCGAAACAACAATTTTTGGGCACTTTTATTGCAAATTTCAGGTATCTATAAGTGTTTGTGGTATAAAATATCATCCCCAGACATAAATGAACATCCAAACTACATATTTTATTAAGTTTTGGAGCCTTTTTTACTCTTAAATTGACATCTTTAATGAGATAAACTGTTATCATGGTATAATTGCTGGGTAGACGTTCAAAGTATGTACCAACTCGTGCTTCCAGTGAATGTAAACCATTTCTTTGCATAAGCGTCCTAGAAGGCATAATAAGATATATTCCATAGTACCGAATAGGAATCGCCAGTGTTCCGACGCACTTCATGGATAAATGCTTATAGACTATTGAATCATAATGAACAGAAGCAGTGTATACTCATGTGTGATATCTTAATTTATCAAAAATAAGAATTGAATGCATTTGATAATATTGATACTTTGCCAACTTGACTGATTTTTTTCTAGTCTGAGTAATTAATAAATGAATAGTGGATTTGATTAATTGAGGATTTCCCATGTTAAAATATGTGAAAATTGTCAAGAGGCCACACACATCAGAGGATGAGAGTACAATACAACATGTGTAAATTATGAGACTATGTTGCAACACCTTCAAAGAATGGTCATTTCACAATCCACATTGCACATACTGTAGCAGGCATGATATATTTTAACATTGTCACAAAAACCAGGGATTGACAAAAAATATAGCATATCATATAGCAGGTATATGCCAGGTATTGTAATATATTTCAACGTTGTCACTGTAAGAGTAGGCATTACAATTTACCCATAAAAATATATAATATTGACAACAGGCTAAAAAGTCTTCACTTAGTAAGCCATAAATGTCACATAAAGGCAACGGTCACACCAGGCTTTCACGATAGCATTGCTAAGGTAATGGCAGGATCCATGCATAATTTATTAAATCAGGCCCGCAGATAGGAGGGGGGGGGGGCCCTGGTCAGAAATTCTCTCAAAAACTTGCAGTTTTTCACCATTCTGAGCACTTTTCACATGATTTTTTGCCAAAACAACAGATGCCAGCCAGATCATACTTATAGTAGAAGGCTAGGCTAAAATAAACCTCAAATTGAGGTATTATCATTGAGATACTGATACTATACATACAATCGTGCTATCAAAACTGTCAAAAAGCCCCCCCCCCATGGCAAAAACTCCACCCTTGGTAAAACCGCTCCCCAATGGTGAATCCTGGATACGGGCCTGTAAATGGTCATCGTGGTTGTACCAGACAGCAATGCAATGTTTTGATTTGCACACATTTTTATTTTTAAAAATCTAATTGAGAGCATCCTAATCATGTGAAAAGTTCAATTTTTTTTGAATAGTTATACATGTATTCCTTTTATAAAGTGGGTATGATCCTGTCCCTAGCCTCTCTGAGCTTACTCGGATTTAGAATGAAATAACTTTTGATTTTCTTTTAGAAGATACCCTGAAGTGTAGGAATCCATAAGTTATTTTTTCAGGTTTGGGTAAAATCAATTTTTATGGCAGGTTATAGTGGCGCCATCTAGTGATTTTAAAGTTGCAGGGTGATAATCTTAATTAATTTTTTTTTCAGCCAAACCTAATTTCATATTTATTTTTTGCTGTTTCCTTAGAGACTACTTCCTAAACTATGCATTTGAATTTTTAGGTGATCCTGGAAGGTCATTTGATGGGTCATTTTGCCTCAAATATACAGAAGCGCCACCTATAATCAAGGGTCTACCTTATAAAGTTTATTATTCTGAGGCTGTTATGGTAGATAAAATTGTTATTATTGGTGTAATAATTAGAACCATAAAGGGGACATATGATGCAGTATCAAATTAATATATGTGGGACATGGGAACTTAGAAAAATTTTTTTTTGTAAAAGTGGAAGAAATTTGACAAAATATCAGTTTTTACATATTACCAAATACATATGCTTTTTCATTTCTAAGGTAAACCTAACATGATGTAACAAGTAGAAAAATATATATTTAGACAAGTCAAGCTTATGGTTGACAATTACGGTTATTAATGAATACATTATAGACAGAATGAAACCATGCATAAAAGGCGCCATCTATAGAAAATATATTTTTCTATAAGTTTCATTTGTTTGTAAATCATGTATGATTTTTGAAGGCAAAGTAAGAAACATAGAGAACAATGACAAAATTGAAAGCAAAGTGCGCTTTTAGCCTCCCCAAGTCTTCCTGACCATTTCAAATATTGTACCTCCTAATAGATACATGCTATTCTATGAAATAATATAACCATATTTCAGATTCAAAGTATATATATCCACAGCAAAACACTTGAACGTATTAACAGAAATACCTCTATTTTTTAATAAAGAATGCACTGCTTTGAATTTCTAGAAAATAGATGTGATTACGAATATGACATAAATATTTTTGAAAACTGCTCCCTGATCTGATTCTACCTAAATTCCAATTCATTGTAAAATAAGAGACTAGAAAACAACTGTTACATTCAATTTGTTTTGTGATATTTGATTAAAACAGTTCATTTTATCAGCATAAAATATTAATTAAGCATTGCCTCCAAAAGTTCACTCTCTTTTAAAAAGGGATTTTTACATTTATTTGTTTGTAAACTTGTGCATTTGCAGAATGATATGCAGTGTTGCCCACTCTGTTTGCATCCACATGATGCCTGGCTGCAAGTTTTGCATGTACATTGCTTTATCAAATCTTCAGGCCAAATCCTTATGTCCTGCTTTGGGATAAGAGAATCATTTGTGGGGTCCTTCATGTAGCCATGTTGTAGGGGATCAAGTGTTACAGCTTCTTCATCTAGAACATGCTGGACTTGATATGTGGCTAAGTGAGCTCGTTTTATGTGGTCTGTTAGTAGGTGTGATGTGGGTGGCAATGAGCTTATTTGAGCTGATTTTGAGTGATGGTACATCCAGTTCCTAAATTTATTCATGGTCATACATTTTGACCCAGATTTCAAAACTTGTACAAGAAACACTTCAGCTTTACTGCAATTTTCATCACTTAGGTTCTCCCCAAAGGTTGCTAAACCTTGAATGTATTCTGGTTTTACTTTCAATGCTGCAGGTTTTGTACCAACTTTACTTGTAACATCTGAACCAGTAAGGAAGTGAATTGCAGGTAAAGCTTTGCTTATATTCTCATCAACTCTCAGTGATATATAATGTATGCATAGGAAGATATCTTGTTGAGTCCCCGATGCCAGCTCGTATCCATATCTCTGATGCTCCATAGTCCTTTAGTTTTTCTGCATAGTGCAAAACCATGACAAAGACATCAGTGTCATTTGATATGACAGACACTCTACATATGTTATTCTTTAAGGCATCTACTATATGGGGAAGCATTCTAGTATCTGCTTCTTCTATTGGTTTATTGATACACGGGGTGTTGCTTGTTGAGGGAACATTGAAGCTTTCGCATTTCATGGACAACTCTGGTGAATTGCTGACTGTTCCACTTAAAACAAACATTATATTTGTGTAACTACTTGCCACTTTTTGTATTGATTTTCTCAACAATAATTGTAGTTGCTCTTTGTTGGAATTACTTCCCCAAAAGGTGTCCATATTCAGAGGAATCAGGATTATGTGTGTAGAAAATAGAGGGGTGAGGATAGTGATAGTGATAGTGAAAACTCTTTGGTAACAGGTGGAATGCCAATATTTTTGAGGTCAAATCCTTCTCATTTTGACGCAAAAAGGGCCATTGGAAGAGAGTACACTAACTATAAAGGATACTATCAAAATATAGATAAATTTCATCCAAAATACTTGAGAGTTGGTGAGTTAACGTAACTTTGGATGATCTTTCCAATGGTATATCACACTAGGTACCATCTATTAAGGTCTTGGCTGTAGAGGGGGGGGGGCGGGACTTATTTGACACACTGAATAAGTACTTTTAAATTATAAATGATTAATTACCAATTTTACAGCATCTATCTTGCTTGCCAGAAGAAAATCCTGAGACTGCCTCTTGCTGTGCTTTATAAATGTGACATCTTCACCAAATCGCTTACGCAAATATTTGGTGACAAGTTGCCCTTGAACAGGGCTACGTCGAAGGCGGTCACCGATCTCTTTGCAAATCTCTGATACAGAGAAGGCTTTTCCTGTATTCAAGTCTTGTTGAATTTCATTGATGACATCATTAAATACATCATACATATTTGATTTATCATGAAGAGAATTTGAATCAGTACTTTTCTGGTATTTATGGCTGTATTGTTTGTAACAATAGTTATGGTATAAGAGATCAGCTTCAATCACTCCTTTCACATCAGTGAGGTGACAGGTGCTGGTATACACTTCATCCTGTAAGTGTTGGGTTTGTACAAGAAACTCGGTAGCTTTCCTCTCTTCAGAAATTCCGGATTTTTCATATGTTTTGTTTTTTGTGACCTGATTACAATATATACAAACATTCTGCTATTTAGGTACATCAACAGCTTCAACAGAGGGCCTTTGTGGTAGGGAACATTTCATTTGTTTGGGTTGTGCTGTTGACGAATGAGGTGTATTTCCAACCATTCCTTCAATGGTTTCTTCAGTATCAGTTTCAGTTTCTTCAGTTTCTTCATTCCTTTGTGGAAGGGAACATTTCATTTGTTTGGGTTGTTCTGTTGAGGAATGAGGTGTGTTTCCAACCATTCCTTCAATGTTTTTTTCAGTATCAGTTTCAGTTTCTTCATTCCTTTGTGGAAGGGAACATTTCATTTGTTTGGGTTGTTCTGTTGAGGAATGAGGTGTGTTTTCAACCATTCCTTCAATGGTTTTTTCAGTATCAGTTTCAGTTTCTTCATTCCTTTGTGGAAGGGAACATTTCATTTGTTTGGGTTGTGCTGTTGAGGAATGAGGTGTGTTTCCAACCATTCCTTCAATGGTTTCTTCAGTATGCCGTTTTTGGGTGTATACTCTGTAGCAAGCATTGTTCATGTGATATAGAATAGGTGCGTTTTCAAGTTTGGCTACTTTCATACGTTGATAAACTTCATCTTTCATTTTGCTTATTCTAAGCAAGGTTGCAACACCTCTTGCTTGTCCCACAGTTGGCTTGACAACATTGCTGTTACTGTCTTTAAAATCATCTTGGCAGATAATACATTTTCCTCTTTCAAAGTTTATAGAAGCCATTTAGGAAGTTAACTGGAGAAGAAATAGATTGTTAGTGATTTTAAAATATTCAATCTCTGGGTCTCAAAAATACAGTCACAATTCAGGATCATGCATAGTTTATCATGTAACTGGGTTCATTTTAGTTATTAACGTTAATTCGTTAATCCATATGCAAGGACATTTGACTTTCAAAGAAAAGCTGGATGTGATCATATGTTTTATTTTCCTAGACACCAATTTACATTCTATATTAGAAATAATTTGAATCATTCTAAGTGATCATAATTTTAATTCTTCTATTTTGTCGAAGATGAGCAATCTTTATATCTTAAATAAACCTTAAAGCTTACTTACTTTAATCACATTTTAATAATTTTGTTTCCACCAATTCAATACATGTTCATCTGTAGTCTCAAATATATACTAAATACAAAAACAGAGGTTAGTCAATTAGTCAATTATAGAGGATTACTGTTTTAAACAACCTTCATGCTAATAAGATGTAAATTACCCCAAAATTAGCTGCCATGGCTTTTAACAGGAGTTTCAGTTTTGAGTTTGATATAAACTTATGATGGTATACATATAATATAAAATTAGATCTAACTCCATTTGGGTGGGATAGATTGAAAGATCATTTTTTATTTGAAAAGTGTAGATACATCTTTTGAGAAGCTCTAATTTTATACAAAATGTTTCTGGCAAAAATTACCTGTAAAATAAAATATAATTTATTCTAAAAGTGCACACTTATGGAAATGATATGATTAATAGATGTTATACTCTATTAATACAAAGAAACTCAGGAAAAGCTTTTCATACATTCATTAAGTACCGTGTTGTATTTCCAGAAGTTGAGTCTTTGATATAATAAGGGGTGTATATCAAACACAGAATAATTAAATAATAATAATGGGCCAAAACCAAAATTCAGCCCTACAACTACTTCATTCATATTCTCAAAAATCAAAATGTATTTGTTTGTACTTGTTACATCATATAAGGATTACCTTAGAAATAAAAATAAAAAAAGCATATGTATTTGGTAATATGTAAAAACTGATATTTTGTCAAATTTCTTCCACTTTTACAAAAAAAATATTTTCTAAAGTTCCCATGTCCCACATATATTAATTTGATACTGCATCATATGTCCCCTTTATGGTTCTAATTATTACACCAATAATAACAATTTTATCTACCATAACAGCCTCAGAATAATAAACTTTATAAGGTAGACCCTTGATTATAGGTGGCGCTTCTGTATATTTGAGGCAAAATGACCCATCAAATGACCTTCCAGGATCACCTAAAAATTCAAATGCATAGTTTAGGAAGTAGTCTCTAAGGAAACAGCAAAAAAATAAATATGAAATTAGGTTTGGCTGAAAAAAAAATTAATTAAGATTATCACCCTGCAACTTTAAAATCACTAGATGGCGCCACTATAACCTGCCATAAAAATTGATTTTACCCAAACCTGAAAAAATAACTTATGGATTCCTACACTTCAGGGTATCTTCTAAAAGAAAATCAAAAGTTATTTCATTCTAAATCCGAGTAAGCTCAGAGAGGCTAGGGACAGGACTAGTACACTTTTTGGGAAACCCTGTATTTGCAGTTCAATGCCAATGTGGAAATCAATATACAGGGAAATTCGATCTTGAATTTGTAAAATAATAACAAGAAAGGTAGCACCAAATTAGCTTGATGTATTCATGAATGGATTCTCAAAAGTATACAAAATATATATAATCTTATTCTGTAGCTTCGGGACAATGACTATTCCTATTCGGTAGAATGGAATATATCTTTCAACGACTTCTATGACGCTTATGAAAGATAATAGCTTGGATTCAAACATAGCACAAGTTGAGACATACTAATAAGGTATACTTTACAGTTATACAATGCTCAGAGTATCCATCATTACTTACAGAAAGCAAAGAACGACTCGCTGATATCGTTTTCTGCGAGCTTTTCGAATTGGGTCATGTTGGTTTCATGCTTCGATTTGCATTAATAGCCTACACATATGGATAATCATTTAGGAACATGTTGAAAACATATTCCAGCACCGAATGCATTACTCTATATTCATTCTTACCTTATGCTATCTGATTTGTTTGACACATTTTCGTCACCTGGCTCGTCCAGTGGCGAACGAGACGCCATATTTATCGGGATTCAGTAAAAACACAACTCGGGTCACTGACTTGCTGGAACGAAATTCGGAACACAGGATATTGATCACCCGGGGTGCTAATGTCATATGTATTTTTAGCTCACATGGTGAGCTTTTGCAATCACTCACTTGGCCGTCTGTCTGTCCATCAGGCTGCCAACAATAGTGGCATGTTTTAAAACCTCAGTCGATAGGATTTCCATTTTAAGTTAATTTTGTTGATTATCAATATAAGAAAGCCCCCTATGATTCCTTTTTTCAACCTTTGTGGAGCTTTTTTCCAGCTATTTTAGAGCTCTTTCAGCCATTGTAGAGCTCTAGTTTAGATATTAAGGGAGATACTATTATGTAGAGGTGTCATGGGTCAGGTATTTTTCAGGTCGGGACGGGCCAGTAAAAGAATGTGCCGATCGGGTAATTCTGGGTTGGGTCAGAAGAAAACAGAAAAATGAATTTGATTTATCATTTTGGAAATTTACAAAATCATAAAACTGGAAAGTTAGAAACCTAGCATTAAATTATTCGTTAAGAACAGAAAATATTTGTGAACACACTTATCATATTGGCGAGAACTTTTCATAATTTATATGCATACATGTACATGAAATGGCTACACGTTTGAAATGTTTTAAGAGAATATAAAGCATTTTACGATAAGCTACGATAGTCATGAGGTTACTGACTCGACCCGATATTGGTAAGAAGCTGTTTGTGACCCGACCTGAGCCTTAAAACCCGGGGTCAGATTGACTTCGGGTTGGTGTGACACCTCTACTACTATGATTGATTATCATAACCCGAAACTTCCTGTTTTATTGATAGCTACTGGGACTGATAAGTTAATTTATGACTGCAGAGCTGAATTAATTCAACTCCTTAGTGCCCTAACCTTCAATGTTAAATGTTAAGTCTAGTCTATGAATTATTTGGTGTCTAAAGTGTTAAGTATTTAAGCCTGGCCCCAGGGGGACAAAGGATGTGTACAAATAGTATTATTGCCTGATTTGAATTTTTTTCATTTTGAGGCCTAATTGTTTTATTTTAGTAGGCAAGATCTTACAATTGCTAATTGAGGCATATCAGATCAATATTAGTATATCAATATCATATATCAATATCAGTATATCAATATCATATATCAATAACGAATCAATATCAGTATATCAATATCATATATCAATATCAAATCAATATCAGTATAACAGTATATCAATATCATATATCAATATCAAATCAATATCAGTATATCAATATCATATATCAATATCAAATCAATATCAGTATATCAATATCATATATCAATATCAAATCAATATCAGTATATCAAAGAAAGCAATAATGCTTTAATGCCCCTGTTAGACCAGGGTGGTATCTACTGCGCTGCTATTGCGATGGAAAATGGTGTCAGTGTGCGTCAATGTGTGATCTTTCGCATCTTTGAGGTATTGCAAAAGTTTGACGCTTAACTGTTCACCCTCACAAAAGGCATTCTCCATAAATGGGCAAAAAGGCAGAATTTATACTTAACAATCGAGAAATTAACATTCTCAAATGGCGAAAAAGGCGGACTTTACCTACATGGGCAAAAAGGTTTTTAGAGAAAAGCATGTGAATTCCAGCTTTTACTCAGTTATGTCCAGCCAACTCATTATACTTCACCTCCAAACCCAATTAGAAGTTTCAATTTGGAGTGACATTTAATGCAAACTCTCAAGTCTCAGAAGTTATTTCTATATATACATTAATAATACTCTTCTTACCAAGCAATCGTGCCTGATGAAAGCTTGCGTAATATGAGGTTAACATTAGGTTAACTTCCACATTTATTAAACGTAAAATGGCTTATCTGTACTGGTATATATTTTGGTGAATTTTCTGATTTTTGCCATTTGGCGGTTAGTGAAATTAAACTCAAATTTCATTAATTGATACTCGCCACCATGTCAGAAGTAATAAATGATGAAGGCTAACATATTCTAAAACTGAAATTTATTTTTTCGAAAAGTTAATGCTCGCTTAGATCTGATTCTGCCTTCAATACTCCTTTTCTTGCTTTTAAACCCTGTGGCTATTTACAAAAGTTACAAAATCTTTCATGTTAAGGTTTTGGTCAGGGTTTTACATTGTATACCCAGTTCTATTTACAGTTCATGAATACTCAACCTCAGTCACGTAAAAGATTGCCTGTGATTTTTGCTTTTTTGATTGCCTTTTAAGGGATATCATATATCAGCATTGTTTGAGAAGTATTGTATGATTGAAATTGAAATCGGTTTGGTTCAGGTGGTTTTAATAATTGCTCTTTATGTAATATGATATGATTGAAGCATTCAGTATTGGTGTATGTAACAAAAATGTTACACTTCAGGCCCGCTTCAGGCTTTTACCAAAGGGTTTCAGTTTTCAAAAAATTACAGAGGGGGTTCACAGCTTCAGATCTGATCATTTTGGCCCAAAATCACTTGAAAAGTGCTCAGAATAGTGAAAAATTGCATGATTTTGATAAAATATTTGGCCATGGTATGGGGGGAGGGTTCGCTTGCGTTCATTGAATTTCCACTGGCTACAACCATGTGTCTGTAATTGTACCAGGTGGTTGTTTCTTTGTCACGTAAATTAATGCCTTTTTATTCCCCTAAGATGTACTTCAGATTACTCAGGCTTGTAGTCAGGGGGGGGGGGGTTCTATGGGTTGGAGGAGTGAACCCCCCTTGGCCAAAACATCTTTCAAAATCAAGCAGTTTTTTCCATTCTGAGCACTTTTTAAGTGATTTTAGGCATTTTTGGACCAAAATTGAACCCCCTGAAATTTTTCAAAAAGTGAACCCCACTTGGCAAATACTGGCTACGGCATGTTACTTATTATATTCTTGTAATTTCAGAACTTTTATGCTTTTGTAATAATAGTTTACCTAATAGTTATTGTAACACAACACTTTATGTTTTTATATATAGTCTACTAATGGGTTAAAGTCAAAAGTGAACATTTGTGATCATTTTTCTAAAAAATCAATTCTTATTAATGCTGAAAAAATGAAGTAAATTTTGTTAGGTTTAAGTATATTGTTGCAGTCATTTATATACAATTCAATTATATTTATATACAATACAATTATTTATATACAATACAATACAATTATATTTATATACAATGAAATTATATTTATAAACAATACAATTATATACAATACAATTATATTTATATAGATCTACAATACAATTATATTTATATACATTATGCAATTATCTAACTTGATAATAGGGTGCGTAAATCGGGGGAGGAGGCAGCAGAGTGGTGGAGGGTAAAGTACCTTGAGGGTACACCTTAACTGAGACAGGAGAGTGAGAAACTTGATGAGGGGTCAAACTTGTAGACCTTAGATTGCCTCAACCTACTTTACAAAAATTGACCTTACCTTCTAAATATAAAATCAACAATTATTTTATTTTGATAAAATATGAACTGAACATTCCCACTTTCGACAGGTGATGTTTCAATTAACAAAGTAAAATAATGTTGTTTAAGGATGGTGTCGAATTATCAACAGTTGTAGAAAAACGAAGTTTCATTAAGGGAAGGGGGTAAATGATGGTTTCGTTAGCAAATAGTGTTGGATTTTTCGTTTTGTCACCGCCAACTTTTTTTGTGGATGGTGTTCTGGGGTTGGTATTTGTGTTTGGCAGGCGGCGTTTGGCGGTTGGTGTAACAAGTTGCAGGTGGTGATATTTTGCATGTCAATGTCTTGTTTAGATATTCAAGTTAAATACAAATCATAATTTTAAAATTTTGTTTGATGAGGGAGGGGGTGACAAGCCATCTCTTTCTTTATCCACAATTGATAATTAGACAGCATCCCTTAAAACAAGTTGTTGATTATGGCTCTATAACCCTGTATACACTGGCAGTTGGAATGCTTAAAATACAAGCAAAATCACTGATCTGCTTGAATTGCTTGGCTTGAAAATGAAACAAGTGCTGTTGAATTGATTGATATGTTTGAAACTGCAAAAGCAACCAAAAGCAGTGAATTGGAAATCAGTTCGGAATATACTCTACGAAACAAAAATTAATGTTCCTGTTTGTTTGTTTTTCAGCCATTTTATCATTGTATAATGTAAGGTGTATGACTGTATGCACAGTAAAACCTGCATACAGTAAGCACCTATGGAGCCACAAAATGTGTTCAATTTAGGTGTTCAATATAGGTAGATGTTCACAACACAGAGGCAATCTTATATAGAACTCTACGGAGTATGCTCTGAGAAGAGGTGTTCACTCAAAACAGGTGTTCACTGTCCAGGTGTTTACTAAGACAGGTTTTGCTGTATATTGATAAATGAAGCCTTTTTTCCAAGTACACTCTCGTAAACTTTTCGCTTCCTGTATACTTACTTCGTCGTCTCATTATAGTGTGTCAATTAAATAAACCAGTGTTTAGAACACTATAATTCAATTTAGCGTTTTATGATTTTAGCTATATTTTGCTATAGTTGTTCCCGCTATATCTGTTGTTGTGTACATTTTTCGCTTCCTTTAGCCTAGCATTAGCCTCATTGTAATTTACCAATTAAGGAATAATTATCCCATCGAACGAAGTTCGGAGGGATATAGGGAACCCGTCCGTCCGTCCGTCTGTCCGTACGTACGTCCGTCCGTACGTCCGTCCGTCCGTCTGTCCGTCCGTCCGTCCGGGCAATAACTCAAATACCGTTGGCCCGATTTTGTTCATATTTTGTACACATATACCCTATGGGGGTAGAAGTTCTGCTCGAGAGCCGATTTTCAAAATGGCCACTCATTTCAAAATGGTGGCCATTTTAGTGACGATTTTACAGTAATTTAGGTGCAATATGTAAAACTGTAATAGCAATATGTTTTAAATGTAAAAAAATTATAAAGGACATTAATAATGCTACAAATGTAGATATTAAAGAAGCACATGGCAGCCATCTTGAAAAATGGCGTCCTTTACTCGTCATTTTACGATTTTTGCTGTAACTCAAAAAGTAGTGGAGCGATTTTGTTCATATTTGGTATGTGAATACTATAAGCATTGCACACTGTCTAAAGACACTTTTGGTAGAAGGCGGCCATTTTGAAAAATGGCCGCCATTTTAACGTATTTTACTATAACTCGAAAAGTAGTGGAGCGATTTTGTTCATATTTGGTATGTGAATACTATAAGCATGGCACACTGTCCTATGACACTTTGGTAGAAGGCGGACATTTTGAAAACAATTTTGAAAAATGGCCGCCATTTTAACGTATTTTACTATAACTCGAAAAGTAGTAGAGCGATTTTGTTCATATTTGATATGTGAATACTTTAAGCATGGCACATTGTCTAATAAAACTTAAGGGAGTAGTCGGCCATTTTGAAAAATGGCCACCATTTTTATGTGTGTTATTTTACAAGTACGTGTGCGATTTTTCAAAAATTTTAGAGGTGGCTACTAAAAAGCATATTATTTCTTCTGATGACAACTTGGCTAGTGAGCAACCATTTTGAAAATGGTGGCCTTTCCGGTGTGTTGTTTTATGATATTTGCGATTCGTTTGTAAAAATGCCAGCCATTTCTGTTCGATGGGATTCGCTACGCTTTGGCGTTGCCGTTGTTCTGGTTATTTCCTTTAGTTGGTATTTGGTGAAATTAATGGAACTAATATATAAATTGCCTTTATGACTTACATGAAGTCTATCCAATGAGTACTACCCTGAAATTATGTACCAGTATAATCCTCTTACTAGGACAAATCATTTTGCAGTTTGATGTAGTTTGATGGTTTGACATAGATCTAAGATAGTACTGCCATGTATGAACCTTTACATGAATAACAGTTGCTAACAATGGCACACTCTGATTGGCTGATCTATTTCAGATTTTTTTCTCTAATTTAAAGAGTGACATAATATCTCCCAAGTCTTATAAAGGGTTTCAACTGGGAAGCACCTTTGGGCCAATTTGCCACATAAAAACCTATAGATATCATAAAAGTTAGGTTAACTAATGGAACATTTGCAAGAGATATCTTTCTTTAGACTATTTTCAAACAAGAGGTATTATACAGTGAAAGCTGTTCTGAACACCTTTTTAATCTGATTATGTCTCAATTTATATGCTTTTTCTGTCTGAGTATATAAACTTGTATATCTGAACACCTTTCTAATCTGAGCACGTTTTTTCGGTCTGATTTTTTTGGCACCATTGTTATTGTCTCCAACTTTTTGGAAGGTGTTCGGTGTCTGGCATTCGGTGGATGGCAGTCGGCATCTGTAACAAATGACAAGTACTGACATTTTGCATCTGAAAGCCTTATTTAAGCTAACACAGTCTTCCATGTTGAAAAAAACTTGAAATGTGAACACCTGTCATTTAGAACACTTTTTGCATGTTGCAATGTTTGGATTAGACAGGTTTTGCTATATATTTTTTTTTCAATAAAAATAGATGATTGTCATTTTAGTTATACAAGTAAATCTATGCATCTTAACATCTTTAGGAGACGCTTCTTTTCTTTCTAATGAGGAGATGCTTACATGTGATCGCAAATGGTACAATTTATTGGTCACAGTCATATTGTTATCGTCTACAACTTGTTTTGTGGATGTGTTTGGGTGGTTTGTTCTCAATAACAATTTTTTCTCACATACAATCTTTTTTTCCATTGATATGATTATGTTATTTTTCTCCCTTACAAAATGTATCTCCCTTGCAAGAAAATTTCCCTCTCCCTTACACAATATTTCTCTGAACCCTTTTTAGATATTAATACTGTTGTAACAATTCCCTTTTCTAATATCTTTTCTTTCTGTACTTCCAGGTATCGTAGAACACTTGAATTGGTAACTATGGCAACACTGTTATGAAGTCACGGGACAAATTGAAAATTACACAAAGGAGGGAAACATAAAAAAGTGTTATTACATAGTTATCTAAGACAGCACCAAGAAACTTAGATACATAAATCAGGATATATTACAAAGCACTACAGAAATACAATAGCTGTGTTAAGGCTCAGCTAGGATTAATCAAACAACAGTAAAAGCAAGGAAACTACTATACATATAGGATTCTACAATTTTACAAGCTGACAAGTTGAGCTAGCTGGCCAGACAGGTCAAGGTATCTTAAATCTACAAGGAAAGGAAACATCACTTGTGCTGTTCATTTTGATATCTGCAGCTTAACATCATCGGTAGCTTAACAATATCTGGAGCTTAACCTGTTGGGATTCGTTAGAGTTGTGTCTTATTTAAGCTCTACCTTGGAGATCTGTCATTCACAATGGATATTTTACTATTGACCTTTACTATACTGTTGACTTGAACCATATTTACTGTTGACCTGAACCATATTTACTGTTGACCTCTACTGTATTTACTATTGACCTCTACCATATTTACTGTCAACCGGAGAGTCACACTGTAGAATTAAGTATTCTAGCAAGTTCCAATAGTTTATAGAAGTAGCTAATTCGGGATCTGGAGATCATCTGCATAGACTGGGAAATCGACAGAGATAAATGGTGAAAGTAATGGGCTCAGTGGGAACTAAAACACATGCCTTCTTTCAATTATAAAACAAATGCAGCAATAGCCACCTGTTTGATGTAGGAATACAAGAAGTGGAATCAAATCTATGATAATCTCAATAGACGTGAGTTGATCTAGACGCCATTGGGACGGGAATTTATTAATTTATCACTATCCGCAGAGAGCAGTGAAACATAGAATAATTAAACGCTCAATTGAACTTTGAGAATTCACCCGTGAAGAAACATAGGTGAACAAGTTGGATTTATAGAATAAATAGAAGTCAATTTGTAATAAGACATATTACGCAATGTTGCCATGTGGATAAAAACGATGATAAACATTGTTGATAGAGAGTTACATTGCCTGTGTTTTGGCTTTGGAATAGGAAGTGATTGATGTCTAGATTGTTTGGAAGTAGAGTGAAAAATTAGCGCTATTTGAGAAAAATGATAAATAAGTAACATTCATCGCCAAGGTAACTATAAAAGTTTTGTATACAATTACTTGGAATTAACTACTGAAATTCAGATGAATGTTAAAAATTGAGACCACAATTAAATTGACTGATTGTGAGCCTTTATTGAATGGACGTTTCTGTACGTATGGACTGTTCACAGCACATACAAATGCCTTATCTCAAAGTTTAAACAATAAGCGATGCTTGGTGAATATTAAAAAAGAGATGTATACCATATTGCGAATTGTATAGAAATACTAATTAGTGATATGAACATATGAAATAGGAACTCAGTGATATATAGTTAGAATAGAAGCATTAGAGACATATAGCAGCTGAACTTACATAGTCCTGTTAGTTGTTCAGAGATTCAGGCTAAACATATGGAAACTTAAAAAAGAAAACAGCTTGTAAACCAGCAGATATACATTTATAGGTATGTATGATTTTTTATGAATCTTGTTTGACTTTACAACTGACTGAGTTCTGGGAACATTTTATTAACAGCTGATTGGAGGTTGTTTTTTGAGAATTACAAATATTCAGGGCAAGATTCAAGTTTTAGTTTTGACATAATTCTTGTTGCCCCTGGCTTGATGTATTTCGATTTTCTTTACTTAAATCAAGTACATTTATTAGTTATCTTGATAAGTTTATTTATAGGAATATGATCGATGTTAATGTGTTTTTAACAAATAGTATTTGTTGACTATTTAATTTATAAGATCAAGCTGATTTACATGCTCATGAACAAGAAGAGCATAAATACACTTCACAAGGCCTAAGTTAAAATTAATGTGATAAGCGATAGATTTTTGAAAATAATGCACCATTTTCATTTGAAGCTTAACCCTTAAGAAAAAACCCATGGTCTCCATGATTTGTCATGGTAATTACCGGTTTTCCATGGTAAATACCGGTTTTTCATGGTAAATACCAGCCTTTCATGGTAAAAAATCATGAACTTTTCCATGGTAATTACCGGTTTTTCATGATAAAAAAACATGGAATTTTCTATGGTATTTACCATGAAATACTGGTTTTCCTTGATATTTGAAAATGAGTTATTCCAACCAAGTGTGTCAAGGGTAATGTGTAATATTGATGCATTGGTATTTAAAGTTGCAAACATATAACATGTTTTCAATATTTTCTCAATATTTAAAGATTAATAAAATAAAGAACACAACACAGATGATAAATGACTTGAAAGAAATGAAGGTAAATATGCATTATTATTTAAAGAGGGAATCAGATAAAGGGAGCAGGCAAAACAAAAATTGTTTCAATTTCAATAAATCTTAGGTTCATTCTTTTGCAGTTTAAATGTCAATTTTCTGAAGTGCATGCATGTACTTTATTTCAAGAAAAACTTTTCAAATTTTGCAATGACCGCAGTTTTAATAGCAGAGTTTAGCATAGCATTTTCAGGTAAATGAAGTTTAATAATCTTCATGGTATTTCCCATTGCATTCGGGAAACACTTCGTTCGGTGGGATAATTATGCTTCAGGGTTTTTCAATTGAGTGTTTTTTCTGACCAAGCCACATTGCTTGTGTTTTCTCTATGGTCAGTTTAAGGCAAGTTGTTAGATAAAACCTATTTGCTTCATTTAAAATGTTTTTTAAGATATGGCAATTGTGTAAATTTGAATCATAAATACAATGAGATGTTGATGTTGGCATAAAAGAACATAATTATTATCAATCTCCATAATCAATGGTCTAAGAACTTATACAAATATGAAATTGAAAATTGTAGGAAGTTAAAATATCAAAGAATATTTAATCTTATTTACCTAAAATACTTATACACACTAAGTTAAGGTATAGGAATTGTGTAAAATTGAAATAATTTTTGAGATAACTTCACTTTATATGATTTTCTTTTTTCTTAAAAACAAAATTGCTACAAAACATTAAAACACAAAACCATGGAATTCTGATTACAATTTCCAATATCATGGAACTTGATTGCGTTTTTCCAAAAATCATGGAACTTGATTACAAAATTCCAAAAATCATGGAGTTTGATTGCACTATTCTGAAAAATATTTGTTTAAGAAATGTAAACAGGCTCATGATTTCTGAAAACTACATGAGTGTACATTTTGGTGAGGATTCAAGGCTTTTCATATTTTTTTTATAAAATATTGTCTACTCCGTGATCCATCCATATATGCAGTAAATTGTCTATAAATACTATGAAATGTTGATATTGGGATCAAATAACATGTTATCAATCTCCATAATCAATGGTCTAAGAACTTATACAAATATAAAATTGAAAATTGTAGGAAGTTAAAATATCAAAGAATAAAATACTCAAAAAAATTAAGTCAAGATATGGCAATTGTGTAAAATTGAAATAATTTTCGAGATAACTTCTCTTTATATGATTTTCTATTTTTCTTAAAACTAATTGCTACAAAACATTAAAACACAAAACCATGGAATTCTGATTACAATTTCCAAAATCATGGAACTTGATTGCATTTTCCCCAAAATCATGGAACTTGATTACAAAATTCCAAAAATCATGGAGTTCGATTGCACTATTCTGAAAAATATTTGTTTAAGAAATGTAAACAGGCTCATGATTTCTGAAAACTGCATGGGTGTATATTTTGGTGAGGATACAAGGCTTTTCATCATTTTTTTATAAAATATTGTCTACTCCATCCATGTGTGCAGTAAATTGTCTATAAATACTATGAAATGTTGATGTTGGCATAAAATAACATATTATTAATCTCCATAATCAATGGTCTAAGAACTTATACATATATAAAATTGAAAATTGTAGGAAGTGAAAATATCAAAGAATATTTAATCTAATTTACCAGTCAATGGTTTAAATACTTATACACACTAAGTTAAGGTATGGCAATTGTGTAAAATTGAAATATTTTTTGAGATAACTTCACTTTATATGATTTTCTTTTTTCTTAAAACATATTGCTACAAAACATTAAAACACAAAACCATGGAATTCCGATTACAATTTCCAAAATCATGGAACTTGATTGCGTTTTTCCCAAAATCATGGAACTTGATTACAAAATTCCCAAAATCATGGAGTTTGATTGCACTATTCTGAAAAATATTTGTTTAAGAAATGTAAACAGGCTCATGATTTCTGAAAACTGCATGGGTGTATATTTTGGTGAGGATACAAGGCTTTTCATCATTTTTTAGAAAATATTGTTGAGTCCATCCATGTGTGCAGTAAATTGTCTATAAATACTATGAAATGTTGAGGTTGGCATAAAATAACATGTTATTAATCACCATAATCAATGGTCTAAGAACTTATACAAATATAAAATTGAAAATTGTAGGAAGTGGAAATATCAAAGAATATTTAATCTAATTTACCAGTCAATGGTTTAAATACTTAAACAAACTAATATTTTGATTTGTTGATGTTATAATATCAAAGACAAAATTACGACCTAAAACTTTTATTCTAGCATCTCCAAAACCATGGAACTTGATTGCGTTTTTCTAAAAATCATGGAACTTGATTACAAAATTCCAAAAATCATGGAGTTTGATGGCACTATTCTGAAAAATATTTGTTTAAGAAATGTAAACAGGCTCATGATTTCTGAAAACTACATGAGTGTACATTTTGGTGAGGATTCAAGGCTTTTCATATTTTTTTTTATAAAATATTGTCTACTCCATGATCCATCCATATATGCAGTAAATTGTCTATAAATATTATGAAATGTTGATATTGGCATAAAAGAACATGTTATCAATCTCCATAATCAATGGTCTAAGAACTTATACAAATATAAAATTGAAAATTGTAGGAAGTTAAAATATCAAAGAATAAAATACTCAAACAAACTAAGTCAAGATATGGCAATTGTGTAAAATTGAAATAATTTTCGAGATAACTTCTCTTTATATGATTTTCTATTTTTCTTAAAACATAATTGCTACAAAACATTAAAACACAAAACCATGGAATTCTGATTACAATTTCCAAAATCATGGAACTTGATTGCATTTTCCCCAAAATCATGGAACTTGATTACAAAATTCCAAAAATCATGGAGTTCGATTGCACTATTCTGAAAAATATTTGTTTAAGAAATGTAAACAGGCTCATGATTTCTGAAAACTGCATGGGTGTATATTTTGGTGAGGATACTGTACAAGGCTTTTCATCATTTTTTTATAAAATATTGTCTACTCCATCCATGTGTGCAGTAAATTGTCTATAAATACTATGAAATGTTGAGGTTGGCATAAAATAACATGTTATTAATCTCCATAATCAATGGTCTAAGAACTTATACAAATATAAAATTGAAAATTGTAGGAAGTGGAAATATCAAAGAATATTTAATCTAATTTACCAGTCAATAGTTTAAATACTTAAACAAACTAATATTTTGAATTGTTGATGTTATAATATCAAAGACAAAATTACGACCTAAAACTTTTATTCTAGCATCTCCTCCCAGGTTCCGAATTATACTACAGGGTTTTTCAATTGAGTGTTTTTCTGACCAAGCCACTTGCTTGTGTTTCCTGTGTTCAGGCATTGGCTTTCAACTAGAATTGGCATAAAAGAACATGTTACCGATATCCATAATCAATGATCTTAGAACTTTTATTCTAGCGTCTCCTCCCAGCTTCCAAATTATACTACAGGGTTTTTCAATTGAGTGTTTTTTCTGACCAAGCCACATTGCTTGTGTTTTCTTCATGTTCAGTTTAAGGCCAGTTGTTAGATAAAACCTATTTGCTTCATTTAAAATGTTTTTTAAGATATGGCAATTGTGTAAAATTGGAATTATTTTTGATATAACTTCACTTTATATGATTTTCTTTTTTTTCTTAAAAACAAAATTGCTACAAAACATTAAAACATAAAACCATGGAATTCTGATTACAATTTCCAAAATCATGGAACTTGATTGCATTTTTCCCAAAACCATGGAACTTGATTACAAAATTCTAAAAATCATGGAGTTCGATTGCACTATTCTGAAAAATATTTCTTTAAGAAATGTAAACAGGCTCATAATTTCTGAAAACTGCATGGGTGTATATTTTGGTGAGGATACAAGGCTTTTCATCATTTTTTATAAAATATTGTCGACTCCATCCATGTGTGCAGTAAATTGTCTATAAATACTATGAAATGTTGATATTGGCATAAAAGAACATGTTATCAATCTCCATAATCAATGGTCTAAGAACTTATACAAATATAAAATTGAAAATTGTAGGAAGTGAAAATATCAAAGAATATTTAATCTAATTTACCAGTCAATGGTTTAAATAATATACAAACTAATATTTTGAATTGTTGATGTCATAATATCAAAGAAATCTAGTTCAATGCCCATGATGTTTAGTAGCAATTTTGATTTTAAGAAAAAAGAAAATCATATAAAATGAGCTTATATCAGAA